ATAAATGTTAGGATAATTTTTCAAAAGAACAAACATTTAATAACAAGTCTTTTAATGCAGGTAAGAAAAAAACTTTTAGACGTAAAAACTTCTGATTTCTTCACATTTATTAATGGAACCATCATGGTCTGTCCTGTGCAGAATGACAAAACACTAAATTATTTCTTTATTAAAACCTCTGTAACTTTGCTCCAGTTCATTTTAGCAGCATGAATCTTTGTACAGGTGATGTTCACAAGTGGATTTATGGTTTCCAAGAGTTTTTAGTCTGATTTATTATGGTTTTAAATGGGTTGAAACATTATTCAGACTGGAGGGAAAAAAATGTTTTAAAAAATATGTTCCATCCTCAATATGTCTAAAACCACAGCAGCTGTTTTAATTATTCTACTTCTAATAAAATCTCTCAAGTGTTGCTTTATTTTGATACCAAGATTATTTAAGTAGAGTTTGTAAAAGCTGAGATACTCAGTTATATTTCAGTATGGGATTTAGAGCAAAAACATGAAGAAAAGCCCATGTGGCTAACAAACATTTCAACCTTTAGCTGCTTGTTAAAACACACTGAAACAGTTCGGCTCAGAGGAAAGAACTCCTTAGACTCACCTGGTCTCTCGATCTTGGCCTTCCCGATGGGAACGGTGAAGTCCTTGGACTGCGACTCCTCTGACATCTCGAAGGGAACGCCGTACATCAGCTCGTTCTCCAGGAACACCACTGCAGGAAACACAGTTTTTATTTCTCTGAAGCTTTCTGCAGAGTCTGAAGTGTTGAAGCTCCAGCTGTAGTTTTCACCTGGATTATCGTCTCTGATGGCCGACTTCAGGAGACCTTTGGCATCTTCTGAGTTCCAGGGACTCACAACCTTCAGACCGGGACAGTGAGCGTACCTGGAGACAAACGAGTCCAGGTCCAGTTTACGGAACTGAATCACTAAAACGAATTGAACTAAAACACAAAGTGAGTGAAGTCAGAGTGAGAGCTCGGGGACTCCGGGCGTCCCTGAACGCACCACGCAGCGAAGCACTGCGAGTGCTGCGCGGCCACGCCGGCCGACGCCCCGTTGGGTCCTCTGAAGACGATGGGGACCGGCTGCAGCCCGGCGGACATGTAGCAGGTCTTTGCTGCAGAGTTGATGACCTGGTCGATGGCTTGCATGGAGAAGTTAAAGGTCATGAACTCACAGATGGGCCTCAGGCCGGCCTGAGGGAGCAAACAGACACCTTTGTTTGTTTGTTTGTTTGTTTATCATGGCGTCAGTTAAAAATGGATCGCTTAAAATATAGCAGCAAAAAAGAGACGAGGGACTCACCATGGCAGACCCCACAGCGATGCCAGCAAACCCCATCTGCACCGGAGACAAACAGCCGCCATGTTGTTTATTTGTTTATTTATTTGTTTGTTTGTTTACGAGCAGCGACACTGAGCGCGCTCAGAAACATTCTGCAGCGTCTCACCTCTGAGATGGGCGTGTCAATGACCCGTTTGTCTCCGTACTTTTTCCACAGACCTCTGCTCACCTGCAGGCGGAACACAGGTCAGGTCACAACATGCTAGCTGAAAGCTACAGGTAGCTAAGAACAGCAAAACGCTAGGTACGGGCTAACAGCAGCAAAAGGCTAATTCAAAGCTACCTAGAAGAAGTAAAACACTAGCTAAAGGCTAACAGTAACAACAGGCCAAGTAAAGAAGCAAAACCAGCAGAACAGCAGCTAAAAGCAGCATAAAACAAATAGCTAGAACCAGAACCCTGAAGCTAATAACAAGGTAAAAACAAAAAGTCACATCAAGCCTCGCCTGAATGAGCCGAACATTTTAACGTTAAAAACAGCTAAAACAAGACAAACTCTGCAGATGTAGCTGGATTATAAAATAAACACACGTAAACAAACAACAACAGAACGCTGAGTCAGCATTTTCACAACAAGTCCTGGACCAGGACTTTCAGACCTGGACCATCAGGTTCTGGTCGAGGACACGCACCTTGTAGGCGCCGTCGTACTGAGCCACCTCCTCCCCCATCAGGAAGACCCTCTCGTCCCGCTCCAGCTCCTCGTCCATGGCCTGGTTCAGGGCGTCGCGGACCGTCACCTGGCGAGGACACACCCACAGGTTCAGAACCGGTCCCAGGACCAGGACTCCATCCTCACACTGGGTCCACTCCAGAACTGCAGCAGCTGCTTCTTGTCATGTTTCTACAGTTTTGATCAACTTTAGTTTATTAATAATAATAATAATAATAATAATAATAATAATAATAATAATGAATATAGTTCCTTCAAAATAAGAGCCAATAATCAATATTTTTATTATTATGTCTTATCTAGGAAACAAAATGATAAAACACTACCTAGTGTATATTTAATAATTGTTTTTAACATAAGTTTCAAAGCAGCTAAAATAAACTCAAATGATCAACTTATTAAGATGCTTGTTTCTGATTTTAGGTGTTTTATTTTGATGTGACTTTTTCTTTGATCATATTTAAATATTAAAACAGTATTATAAAGAACAGATAATCTTATTAAACCCAGCTGTCTGGAGGTTTTAAACACATTAAACTTGTTTTCACCAGAGGACATCAGTATTTATTCCGGACCGCGGACACACCGACCTGAACACCGGCCGGAGCGCTCCGCTGGAAGCCCCGCCGACACACAACCGACACGGCGTTCTGCGGACAGACAGCCCCGTTAGGATGATAAACAACACAAACGAAACTAACACGACATATTCAGGATGTTTGCTACCTGTCCGGAGCGAAGAAAACACCTCAGGGACGTCGCCATCTTTTCCCTGTCCTCTGACGGAGCGACAGGGCGGGGTTTCCGGTCAGGTTCCGGGGGGGATTCAGCTAATCAGAGCGGCAGATCGCGGGTCACGTGCAGAGTGACGTGACATAGAGCCAATCAGAGCGGCTCAGCTGAGAAGGGAGGCGGGAGAAACTTCAAGAGTGGAAAAAAGGAAACCCAAGGACACCGAGCCGAGCGGTTTGTATGGAGTACTGACAGTACCACCCACTGAATGAATGAATGAATGAATGAATGAATGAATGAATGAATGAATGAATGAATGAATGAATGAATAATTGTACTGAGTGATAGAAAATATGTGCAATGAATTTACAAACCGACAGGAAAAAAAATAAGTTTTATTACTGCATCTGACACAATTTACGTATGCGAGGCAGACTTATTGAATCATAAGATCATGGTTGATTAATAATAGAATTTAAAAACAGCATTTAAAACTTAGGGGTCATTATTTTATTTTTTCCAGCTTTGAACTTAACAAGTATAAGAACCTAGCTGATGTCGTTATGTACGAAGGACTAACTGCGCCAAAATACAAACAAAGACCAAACCGTACAATTAGTTATGGAAGAATAACAGGGATAACAACAACAACAACAACAACAACAACAGCCCCAATGTGTCCAAGTTAGGTGATGTCGATATGTTTGGAGTACTAATTGAAAAATGTCTAAAAAAAAAAAGGACGAGTGCCCACAGCAGTGGATTCTGAAGCTTTGGTTTTCACATATTTAAACATGTTTCACTAATATTTCTGATTTTATTTATTTTTCAATAAGTTGGTTAATAATGTTGCACATTAGGAGAACAAAAAAGCTCACAAGGTCAAACTAAAATCATAAAAAAACCTTACCTTACCTTACTTTACACTTACTTTACATTTACCTTACACTTACCTTACCTTACTTTACACTTACCTTACCTTACTTTACACTTACCTTACCTTACTTTACACTTACCTTACCTTACTTTACACTTACCTTACACTTACCTTACATTACACTTACCTTACCTTACCTTACACTTACCTTACCTTACTTTACATTTACCTTACACTTACCTTACCTTACTTTACACTTACCTTACCTTACTTTACACTTACCTTACCTTACTTTACACTTACCTTACACTTACCTTACATTACCTTACTTTACACTTACCTTACTTTACACTTACCTTACACTTACTTTACACTTACCTTACACTTACCTTACACTTACACTTACCTTACCTTACTTTACACTTACCTTACACTTAC